TAAAAATCTCTTGGAGGGCGGCCCTCCAAAGATACTTCGACGAGACAATTCATGCACCTGCGACGGTGGTAACATACCTGGCCTATCCCTGTGCAAGAACTGACTTGCAGGTACTACTGGCCTGGTGTTTAATGGAAATCAAGAAATCGGAATATGAGACCAACAACTACTCGAAATCAAAGGAAGAGGAACTGGAATTAATGGAAGCCCTGCGAGTGTTGATTTCTAGAGAAAATTTGGCAGTAGCCTGGGCTAAGCGAAAGATGCCCTTTGCTTTGTGAGTTTCGTGGTGGATCGTATCCCCACTCCTGTGTTGGAAGAATGCATACCGACCATTCGGCAAGGGGGAGTTGATTGTGAACGAAACTTTCTGAAGGACTCCTGTGAGCCGGGAGTCAATTGAAGCAGTCAGGACACACAGAAGGACTTTGGAACATTGGGGAAGTTGAAGTCATTCCAATATGTGTCAAGCATACCGGGGATGGCGTACAATCCCTTCGTGGACGAGGAAGCCAGGGAAGCATACTTTGACTATGAGCAGGTTATGGTACTTGATTTCTGGGTCGAGCGAGTCAAGGAAACTGGCATGTTGATGGTGGAACAACCCAAGCCGGGAATCATTTTGGAGGAACGATTGGTCGAACTCTCAGTTCCCGAGCTAATGGGGCAAGTGAGCCTTGATTGTAGTTCTTGGGATGGTCCCTTGAAGACCAGCTTAGTAACCATGTGGGAGCTCATGAAGCCTTCCTGGTGTCCACATCCAAACGCCGGATTAATCTGGCATATGACGGCAGATGTCGCATTGGATTTGGATGATCACGCGAGTGTACACGATTTGGCCATGGTACACCATCTGCTGGCCGTGAGAATAGCGAAGCAGAAGAGCAACCCATCCACGGAATTGTCCGAGGGAAATCCATCGAGTTATTGGTTGAGACAGGGCATCTGTCTTGCCTACAGTAGTGGAATGGATGGACATGTATGTGGTTCGGGTCATTGTCTGAACACGCTGAGTGAGGAGCATCGCCAACTAGCTCAATTGTTTGGGAGGTTGAGCGTGTCGGACTAAGTGAGGTGGAGTTGATTGCTGACTGTCACGGAGTAACGGAAGTGGATTTGATCACGGCCTTGGTATTTTACAGTGCGACGAGCCGATCGAACCACTGGAATGCATCAAGCGTGCCCATGGGCTAGTTACGTCCCTAAGAGTGGAAGTGTTCCTTGAAGCATTGCAGACTGAGCAGAAGATTGGAGGTTGGTGAGAGGCTCTAGAGAAAAACATGAATTTGAAAGACAATGAGGCCTATCATAGACCTACTGGTTCGAAACATCTGGTGGGTTCGAGCTCTGCGCCATATTGCCATAGTAGGTACCCTACGCACATGGTGGTGATGGACGCGAGGACGCAGCAGGTGTTGGTTGACCAACTCTTCTCTGTGCCAAAGTGAGTGAGGTTGGCCAGGATGTCGGTGAGGTCATATGATTTACTGACAAGATCATTCGGCTGTCCCGAAGAGATCTGAAGGCGAGTTGCAGGACGTAGTGGGTGAAGAGTTCATGAGTTTGAGTGTTGGCAATGTGACTGAACTCCAGAAGAAGAAGTCGAGCGGAGCTTTGCTTACCGAATTCCCAATCATGGATGAAAGAGATGACGTACACAGGATCATGACAGAAGTGAAACTGTTGCTGGGAAATTCACGGTACCGGACCCGAAGGAACAACTTGATGACCCATGGGGAAAATCCTTGTCACTGCCTGGCGCAGACGTTATGGTACCCCAAACGAGGGAATGTGGTGTTAGTGTGGGACTTGGAGGAGTTGTACTCCACGGGGTTGCCCGACCAAAATCAACTAGTGTCAATTATGGTGGTTAGTGCCATGCTGGCGGTGAGATGGTTAGAAACTAACGCCGGCACGAGTGAGCAGTAGACGGCCGTGCCAACACCTTAGCAGCTAAGCAACGTGAAGATGAACAACAACTTAGATCTTTTCAGAACCACCTGCAGTGTTCTGAGATTACCCAAAGCCATTGAGAGGATATGGTCAAGGCAAACTTTGATGCCTTGGTTCCGTGCAGTGATGACGTCATGGACGTATGAATGTTCGAAGCGTCATATGTCTAGGAACACGGAAGCCTATCATTGCTTCGATCTAGATATAGGACCGGGAGCTTATATGAGAGCCTTCCTAACGCACAGTAACGCTGTTACCACGGCGGTTAAGCGAGTAGCTGGAGCGCCTTGTGTTACTGAAGCTGAAAAGAGAGAGGTCTTACGAGCTGACCTAGAACGGAATGTGAGCCTGTGTCTGCACAACAGCTTCTGCAGAAATTGGGAGCAAAAAAATGAATGTGGACTCACTGCCTTGATGCAAACCGAGGCTGTTAGAGCAGGAGAGTTGGGGCACGGCCCGCAACTCCGTGGACATGCTGGAGAAAGTCCTAGAAGACAGTGAGCCAGAAGAACAAGGGCAAGAAGCAATGGAATGAAGACAAAAATGTAACATGAGATGGAGTGAGAGTAAAGAAAGAAGGAGGAAAACTTGCTTGTCTTTGTATGCTAAAACTTATAGCAATCAACCAAGTTTGATTATTGAAGCTCTTAACCTTTTTGTTTTGCTGTAGTTTGGTTGAACCAGGCTTTGAGAATTGGTGAATTGTTGCAACTGTTGAATAACAGTGAAACATTTTAGTCGATGCTATTTATATGTATATAAAGAGCCTAGGTGAGTATATTTACCTATTTAAAGACGACTGAAATTTTAACCTGTGTATGACACGTCTTCACTGTGTGACGACCTGGTAGGTTTGGGTACGCTCGCTCGAAGAGGGTGAGTACCTCATTACCTTTCTTAGCCACAAAGTTTCTTGGTTTTAATATTGAGGACGACAGCATAAATAACTGATTATACTTGGAGAGTGACGTTAAGTTAATTCTGGTGGGTGCGTGGCCGTGCCACGTACCAACTTTTTAATCAGCAATAGCGAAAAGAAGTTTTATGGCGAGATGACGTAAGTAGTCAGAAAAAAAAATTATCTAGGACACTCCTCATGGTGCAAATTTTGTGAAAATGTTGAAAGGCAGTGAGATGTAGTATGATGCCATTTGTGACACGTAGTGATTTGAGGTGGAATGGATAAATTTCCTTTTCTGATGCGATTTGTAAAATTGATTAAAGAGATGTGGAACACTACTTGACAATAACCCGGTGTTATGCGATCAATGGAGACATTGATGGAGACGTTCCGCACATCGTAACCTTCCGGCACAACACGAAAAAAGAATTAGAGGCCTTAGCGATTGAAAACTGTTAAAAAGGAGGCTAGAAATTCCGGAATTTTTAATTTTCAAAATTTCGATAAGCAATGAATTTTTCTGAGAAATACGAAATTTGGCCACTTTTTGACCGAAAAGTGACAAAAAACAGAACAACGACAAAAATAACAAGAGACAGACGGTGGTAGAGACATTAATGGAAGTTGTATTGGTCGTTTATTATTTTATGAAGCAAGGGAATGTCGTGCATTTCATGGTAGAGAGACAGTGGAAGCAGGTTTAATCTAATCAGTCTGTCTTTATAGTTGATGTTGTTACATGACAGTATCCAACGTGTAGCTTTTCTTTGGACATCTTCAATAATTTTTAATTCACACTTATTTGCTTTCCATATGGGTGAGCCATATGACACAATTGGGGTTACATATCCACAGTAGGAGTTCAGTTTCATTTTTAAGCTCGCTGATTTTGAAATATTTCTTTTAATTAAAAATAAGCAATCTATTGCTTTTTGGGCTCTTATTTTTGCGTGTGCTGACCAGTTTAGGTTGTTGGTTATTTGTATACCAAGGTCTTTTTCTGAACAGGTTTTTTCAAGTATATGGTCACCGAGATACATGTTTAGGTCAAGTTGGGGGTCTTTGAATATTATATTGTGACATTTTTTCAAATTAAGACTCATGGAATTATCTTTGCACCATAAGTTGATCGTGATTAGGTCATGTTAGAGCAGGGAAGGGTTCGTTGCAACAATTTTATAATCGTCTGCGTAACCATAGCACGAGTTGGTGAGTGATGACGGTAAATCGTTGATGAATGTAATGAAGAATACTGGCCCTAACAGTCTTATAAGAATGACCATAATAAACAATAAAAAAATTGATTGAGAAACGATTGCTTTAAGACTGTACAACATGGCAAAGACACAATGGTGTTCTGTAAACAACAAGATGAGAATCTTGCACAACATTAACTGGAAGTGTGCTGCAAATACGGAGAAGATTAGATGAGCTAAATTATACAGATGTGGGGAATTTAGAAAAATCAATAGCTCAATACAACTACTCCAAATGAAACATGAATATTAATCATGAATGTGTGTGATAAGTCACCTACACTATCCAGCCATTCGTTTGAACGGAACTGGTACAATTTTGAGCTTACTCAAGAATGCGTTCGTGATAAGTCATTTACACAATCCAGCCATTCGTTCAAAAGGAAAATGTACACGTTTGAGCTTATCGCTTCAAAAAACAATTGGATTGCGCTATTGAAATCGTGAAAAATTTGACTCACCGAACGATTTGAAACGTAACGTAACGATGTGTAGGAGGTCATTGCATGATAGATCGGGAAAAAGTTTTGTCTGTCTAAGTTTACGCAGTTAACGTTGAAAGATTTTTTTTCGGAATAATTAGTTTCATCATCAAGCTTGCGATAAGCAAGCGTTTTCAAACTGGATTATATTTATTTTCTAGTAAATATATATTATATTTATTTTCTAGTATGTTCTGGTAAATTTTAATTGACAATTCTCTTGATGCATTAAAATAGACTTGATTTATTCATAAAATTTTGTCGATGTATTTATATAGCGTTGGTATGGCCCTATCCAACCTGTGCACGTACCGTCGCATGACGGAAGGGCCCATTTTCTAGTATCGTATAACATGTACAAAACACTGAATACTTGCACATTTGTATTCGATCGCCTTTTTCAGATTTTGATACCAATTTAAACAAGATGGGCTGTACAATGAGTCAAGAAGAGCGGGAAGCTATAGCTAGAAGTAAGAAAATTGAAGAAGGTCTGAGGAACGAAGGAATTGCAGCAGCTAAAGATATTAAATTACTGCTCCTTGGAGCTGGAGAGAGTGGCAAGTCAACGGTTGTGAAACAAATGAAAATTATTCATATGGAAGGTTATTCCAAAGAAGAGTATTTACAGTACCGGCCTGTTGTATACAGCAACACAATTCAATCAATGGTTGCTATGCTGCGCGCTATGGATGCACTTGGAATCAAATATTCGTCTGAGGAACGATATCGAGATGCAGACAATGTGTTTGAAGTTGTTCAGAATTTGCGAGATACCGAGCCTTTTTCTCCTGAAACCCTACAAGCTATGAGCATGCTGTGGAAAGATTCAGGCTGGTATTTTGAAGATCTTAAACTTGATTTATGTTCTGTTCATAAAAATACCCTTGCGATAAGCAAATGTATTGCAATCGCGTACTAGGCATTTTTTCCCGTAAACAAACTTGTATACACTTCTAGACAATCTCTTCTTCTAGATGATCTTCACTTCTAGAGCATCTTCTGGTTTTATCTTTTGAAAGCTTGTTCTTTCAGGTTTTAATAATCTTTTCAAGTTTCAGGTTGTAATTATCTTTTTGTATTTAAGTATCGATGTCACCAGTTTAGACCTGATTCTTTTGACTCACGGGATGGGGGGGGGGGGGGGGGTGGCTAGGTCTTTTACCAGACCGACCTTTTACCAGACCACAATGTATTATTTCAATTGAGATACATTTAAATTAGTGGGAAATCCGAAACGGAAGCGGTTACATCAAACAAAACTTCGCTGAGAAACCGTGAAAACATCTTTAACCAGACTAAACGTCGTCATTGCATCTGTCAATCAAATTTGTTTATCGAGTCTGGTAAAAGGTCCATGTTATAACTTTTCTGGTAAAAGGTCGGGGGGCTATTCTCATGCGGCAAGGACCGAATGCGCGAAAAAATTATGTGTGAAAAATCGAAAACAAAATAAGCCGAAAGTCAATTTTTAAAAAGAAGCAGTTGCTATTCAATTAAAAAGAAGAAAATGAAGAAACATTTTGCCGCTTTCATTACGAAACCCTTGAAATGTAAAATTTGTCCTAATTTTGCGGCAGTCAATGGCAATATTAAAATTTTGCATATTTCTGCCGTTTTTTATACAAAACTGATTTAAATTAACCGGACAAAAGGCGTTAAACTTGAAATTTAAAACGCAATTTTCTCAAATTGGGTTGAGTTCAGGAGAAAATATATGAAGACAAAACTTGCTTAAAATTTTAGCAGAATTAATATGGTGTAATTTGTTTTGCGAAATTCGGGCCTAAAATTTTACCCCAAAAATGGGTCATTTTGGCTTTTCTTGTTAAATTGAAAAATACCCAGTCGATCACAGCCATAACTATATCAAAGTGAGCCCCTTAAGTAGCCCAACAAACTTTAAGAAGGGTAATTTCTCCAAAAAAAATTTGCAAACCGTTTAAAAATTGTTTTTAAGTAATTAGTTGTTATTTTTATATAGTAAAAACGACCTTTTTTGTCTATCAAACAAAATAAATTAACTTATACAAGGTTTTGGAGAATATACCTTTCTTAAAGTTTGTTGGGCTACGGAAAGGGCTCACTTTGATATAGTTATGGCTGTGATCGACTGAGTATTTTTGGCGTAATTTTTGATTTAATAAGAAAAGCCAAAATGACCCATTTTTGTGGTAAACTTTTGGGGCCGAATTTCGCAAAACAAATTACACCATATTAATTCTGCTAAAATTTTAAGCAAGTTTTGTCGTCAAAAGTTTTCTCATACACTCAACTCAATTTGAGAAAAACGCGTTTTAAATTTCAAGTTTAAAGCATTTTGTCCGGTTAATTTGAATCAGCACTGTATTCGGCCAATCTCAATACCCCAGTCCCTGGAAGTGTTCACTTTCTTTCCAAATTTTGGAGTACTGAAATCTAATTTATATTTTCGCGCATTCGGACCTTCGCGCATGAGGGTTTCCACCAAAGGTCGGTCTGGTAAAAGGTCGGTCCCCTATCACGGGGTCTAAGAGGCGAACTCGAAATTAATTTTAATTAGTTAACAATGCCCGAAATTTGATGCTTCAAAATTTTCCCACGCTAATGTAGTCTTTTATTTCAGTTAAAATACGCATCTAAATCGACATTTTACGCGAAATTAGGCATCAGGGGCGCCCGATAATACGCATCCTGAGAGTAATAAGTCTTTAGAATTTACCAATTGCTGTCTTCGATTTTGGTTTTTGATTCTCTTAAATCTTAATTTTTTCAATTTCTTTGGTTTTCTTTCGGAAATCAAAAAATTTGCGCTTGCTCTGAGCAGTAGTCAAATCGGAAGGTTGACGTTTTTCCAGGTATATAACTTGGCCAACAGAGTCAGTGATCGCTTGTTTACACTAATAAGATTAAAATCGTAGTGTATTAGTACGGACATTCTTTTTTCCAACCCAACTCGCAAATAAAAGTGTTCACTTCTTAGGTGATATTTTTGATATAATCACTATCTATAACATTGGAAATATTATTGCTTCTGTTCTTATTTCTTCTTTTTTCACTTTATAGAGCTGCTTTTCTGTCGTGTTCTGGCTAGTGTTTGCGAAGCGCAGCTCCGACTATGTGTTTTTCATCAATATAAATCAGAAGACCTTTTCGCCAATTTGGCCTTAAAGTTATCCCATGCTTGAGAGAGCAAAAGCCCGGTAGTGAAAAAATTTCTCCCGACGAGAAATTGGCTCTTTTCCACTCCATCCCCCCCCCCCCCCCCCACACACACACACACACACACTCCCGCATTGAATTTTTTTGCCTTGTCATAATAGAATGAAATTTTGTATGGGTAACAAACTAACGTTTGTGAACAGATTTATTCTTCAGAACTTAAATTCTACTAGCATCACGAATTCAGCCATAATAACACGTAAGAAAATTGGAATTTTGAAATGTGGGGGGGGGGGGGGGGTGGGGGTGGAAACGAGCCGAGAAATTTAATTATCCGACTACCGTGTCTGCTTTTTTGTTTTGGCCTAGTTGCCGCCGCATGTCTCTTCCCGAAAGTTAGGGTTATCCCTGTTTTGAACTAGAACTCAACTTGCATGTACTCGTAATATATATTTCTCTAAACTTTTCCCCGAAAAACAATTTTCTATTCTTTTGCTCTGTTTTTGCTTCGTTACGACCACTGAAAGTGGGGATTAATTTTTTCATCGGGTGTGTTCAATTTTTTATGCTTATGACGGGCAATCGTTATCAAATCGGAAGATATACTTTTGTAAGGTTGAGAATTAAGTTTAAAAAATCTTTCGAATCATTCAATGGCTTGATTGATAATATATTCAAATTTCTTAATTACTTCGGCAAACTTGCTTTGGAGGTAACGACTATGCCTGAGACGTCCAAGGGCATAGGATTTTTATGCTTGTGACGGGCAATCGTTATCAAGTCGGAAGATACACTTTTGTAAGGTTGAGAATTAAGTTAATAAATCTTTCGAATCATTCAATAGCTTGATTGATAATATATTCAAACTTCTTAATTACTTCGGCAAACTTGCTCTTTAGGTAACGACTAAGCCTGAGACGTCCAAGGGCATCGGCTCCAATCCGAATGTCCCACGTTTCGCCCCACAAACATTTCGCCCCACACACATTTCGCCCCTCTTAAATCTTGTGGCACATTTCGCCCCTCGCACATTTCGCCCCTAATAATTTCACTTATTTCGTCCTGGCACGTTTCGCCCCTAACTTATCACACAGTTAATTAACGTAGCTTTCTTAATGTACATTTAAGGGGCGAAATGTGTTTAATTCATGAGGGGCGAAATATGCCATTAGATTTAAGAGGGGCGAAACCCGTGAGGGGCGAAATGTGCGAATACCCTCAAATCCGGCCCGGAATTGTTTTTTCAAAAACGGAAAATAAGCAGTTTTAAGAAATTGTCGGCCTACTGTTTGTCTGAAATCGTTTTGTCGTCTTAGTTGCTTGATCACCGACTTCGACTTTTTTGTGCTGTCGAAAGTTTTAACTGTTATCTATCTATCTATACTTGATATAATTGGCGATTCACTTTTTGCATGTTTAAGAAGTCCCTGTGTTGGTTGATATGCTTAATTCTTTTGTTTCAAATCAAAAATGTTTCAGGTGTGCAGCGTTGTTTTGCCAGATCAAATGAATATCAGTTGAATGACTCAGCTGGGTATTTTCTGGACGAGTTAAATAGAATTGGGGACCAAAACTATCTGCCAACAGAGCAAGATGTTTTGCGAACTCGAGTCAAAACCACTGGAATCGTTGAAACACACTTTGACTACAAAAGCCTCAATTTCAAAATTTTTGATGTTGGCGGGCAAAGATCGGAACGGAAGAAATGGATTCATTGCTTTGAAGACGTGACTGCAATTATATTTTGTTCCGCGATGTCAGCTTATGACCAAGTTTTATATGAAGATGAGACAACTAATAGAATGCACGAGAGCATGAAACTCTTTGACTCCATTTGCAACAACAAGTGGTTCACAGACACGTCTATTATTCTGTTTTTAAACAAGAAGGATCTCTTCGAAGCTAAAATACCAAAGTGAGTCTGTAATAGTGTGAGAAGTTTTTAAATTTAGTAAAATACAAAGTAATTTCAGGTGATTCGCAATCGGGGGAGGTGGGCATAATTATCGGGGTTTGATTACGTACCACCAAATCAGTTATCAGGGCTCCCAAATTATGGGGGGTGTGTTTGTTTCTAGATGTTCAAGATATTGAATTCAAATCACAAGTATTAAGACAAATATGAGAGAAATCAACATTATATTTAAAACGATAAATTCCTCGCACCTGTCGAAATTTTTTCAAATCGGGAGGGCTTTCGTTATTGAAAATCAGAATACCCTGATTTCTTAGGAAAACTATATTTCCGGGGGGGGGGGGGGGTTGACAGATTTTTTAGCTTTAAATAGCTCGCATTCGACAGTTTAACATAGCTCGCGTTAATGCCAATGTTCATGAGCATGGGAGGGGTTGGAGTTCATTCTTGTTACATATGTGGCGGCACTGAAAGTTAAGTTCAGCTCTGGGATCAAATATCAAGGCAGAAGCCTAGTTTAATTATTTCTTGCGTTTCTACAGGTCTCCTTTGACTATCGCATTCCCTGAATACTCTGGACGGAGCAACTTTACCGAAGCCAGTGCCTACATCCAGACGCAGTTTGAGAGCATGAACAAATCCAGAGCCAAGGAGGTTTACTCACACATGACTTGTGCGACGGATACCAGCAACGTGCAGTTTGTCTTTGACTCAGTCACTGACGTAATCATTGCGAGCAACTTGCGAGGACTAGGATTGTACTAAAATATTCCAGAAAGAATGCAGACGGCGAAATGATGCCTTGATAAGTTAATTGTTTAGTTAATTTCATCGAAGTTTGAAAAATAAGTATGAAGGGAACTCATAAGATTGCACTTAGCTGACGCAAACTATTATCTTATTTTTCATCTTAAAAAGAAGACTAGCGATTATTTTTTTGAAGATTGAAATATACGTTCTGCGATTTTAATATTCAAACTTCGACATTTGCGGTTTCTCATTCGTTTGTAATTTTTTAGGAAAGAAACGTTTTCTCTAGCAAGAGCAACACTGAGCAGATATGAGCAGTGAACAAATAAGTTCCTTGTTACCCTCTTGCTATCGGAAATTTCCGTTCTGGCTTGGCTGCCAGTTTTATTTGTACAGTTAGCACTTCTTTCTTCCAGCTAAATTTTATTTTACAACTATATTTTTATTCTCTTAGTTTGAATTGGTATTTTAAACCACATTTAGCTTAGATTTCTTTCTTGTGCTTAATGGATTTGAACCAAATTCCGCACACAACTCTCAGACAATCTTGTTAATCAAATGCCTTACATCATTATGCGCTACTCTTGCCTATGAATTTACAAATTTCTGGAGCACCAATAGTTTTTATTGGAGCCTTGAATGTTGCCTATGTTCTATCAGGAATTAACTTTTTTGTTTCTTCCAAATACAAGCTAATTTTTGTTTCTTCCAAATACATTTTTCTGAGCAGTTCTTCGTCGTGTAAAGTTTCCCCATACCTCAAATACGAAGACAATCGATTGCTGTAGCTATTTAATTTCATTTCGTGAACAATCAATTATGACTCGAACTCAGATGTGTGTGCAATAAAACTGATTTTGAATTGTCTCCTTGAAAAATTTTGCTCAAGTTTATTTTTTGAAAACTTGCTCATTGACCGTCAGTTGTTTTATCGACAGCGAAATTTTTCTATTCCTCTGTACATACGCATTATTTATTAATTTAATTGTCTTTTATTTAAAGTGCAAGTTTTCAATTCAGTCTTTTCGTAACCAATATTTTGAAAAAATTCTTCAGCCGTATGAAAAAATGTTTAAGAGTCGATGAAAGCAATTCAGACTCTTTAGGTCGCGATAATTTTTTTGTCGAAATTTTCCAAAAAGTGCATAAAACCGCCTTTTTTGGCCTGTTTTTTAAAATTTGCCTGGGGTGCAGAAAATTTGGTGAATCTAGGGTCTTCATAGTGATTTAGGAGAGCTCAGAAAATCAATTTGGTCGGCCTATAAAAAAAGGCCGAGAAAAATTTCAAAATTATTTTGAAAATCCGCCCCCCCCCCCTCGAGAAATTCCTAGATCCGCGCCTGCTTCAGGCTCAAGTTTTCTTTTTCGCGGTTTGACTTTTGATTTCTTTTTAAGTTCAGTTCATTCACTTTGTTAAAAAGAAAGCAAACTCCACTATCGATTAGCGAAAGTGTAAGGGGCACGAAAAATGTGATCGACTTCTGATTTCGAAAGTGGAATTTAATTTTCAGATTTTCCAGCGAAATAAAACATTTACCTATTGATATAATTTAATCAAAATTGGGATAATTTAATCAAAAAGTGCCAGTCATAAATTGTTCTAGAAGTCAAAAAGCTTTAAGGGCATATATTTTGTTCTTCGAATTTCGTTTTTTTTTTTCAAATAACAAGTCAGTATTTTTTCCTGACTCCCAGCATTCATTGACTCTTTTCCAACTGTCTGTTGGCTATGATTCACATTTCGAGAGCAAAAGTCTTAACAGCTATTCATCACTCAATAGAGAAATTCGCCGTTCGAAATTTCAATCACTGTAGCTTACTCTTGAAAACGGATTTCAGTTATCCTGCCGATAGCACAGTTTGTGTAAATAGGTACTAGAATGTTTTTTTTATTCGAAACCAATTTTGTTATCGGTTTTCTGGTTAGTCATATGCGGAAATGCGGTCAACCAATCAGCCTTTAGTTTTAACCAAGTTAAATCATAATGCGATAGAGAAGGGTACTGCAACCAGGCACTAGAGTTCTTTCCCGTTAATTTTTTTTCACTGTAGTTGATTTTTTTAAGGCGTGCTTGTAGATAATATGTAGGCAGTGCATGAATGTTATTTCGATGTTAACGCTCAGCGTTTTGCTTTTCGCCGAAAATATTTGTAGTTTTGCCGAAAATATTACGCTCAGCGTTTTACTTTTTGCCGAAAATATTGGTAGTTTTTTGGCTAATTGGGTGTCAGCTATAACTCTGTCGGCTGATTTTAAGAATATGATTTGTTTTCGGATTATTTCCTATGGTGTCTTAAATGTAGTTAGACGTCAGTTTTTCTGCAGTTTGCTAGTGTACCAATCCTTATTTTGTATAAAGTCTTTTGTTCAGTTTTATGCGGGTTAAATCGTTTTAGCTGTTTGATATTGACTTTGTCACTTAATATTGCGTTGTTGTTATCAAAAAGTACATTTTATCTTTTTTGCGTTTACCAAGGGGGAAGAGGTTCCTACGTTTTCGATGAAAACAATTATTTTTAACTGGCGTCTATCCAAGTATTAGTGACTCAGTTGACGCCCCATAAATTTTTCTAAATGATTATTCAATGCTGACTATTGTTTCTCGAATTTTTTCTTCAAAATGAATACAAGTCCAGACAAACGCTTCAAATTTTTGTAGTTGCAGAAACTCGATATTTTACAATCAAGTTTTATAATAGACCTCCGTCCCTATTTCTGTTCGCTAGCTTTCAATGCTATGGTAGCAGTGTTGGGTTTATTACACCCTCGCCCGAGTTTCTAACGTTATTTACGTTATTAACGTTTTTAACAGTTAATAACTGTGATTTACTCAAAAAACAGAATTCATTCGCGAAAAATTCAATTGTCTTGAGATTTCAGCGAACGCAAACAGAATGCAAGTTTTGTGACCTTCTCAGAACCAAGACGATTACGTAAGTCCGAGTGTACAAAACCCATTGTTGAGAAAACCCGTTCCAAACCAGCCGTGCTTGGGATCAATTTAAGCATTGTGATCATCAGTTCAGCGAGTCCTTGGCTAATTTCTTGCTCGTCTCTGCTCAACTTGATGAAGTTTTCAACTTTGCATCCAGATGCAGGAGCCCAGTTTTCCATGAAGACAGTTTTACCCTCCGCTACGAAATCAACATAGACTGGCAACAAAGAGGTATACTTTTCTTCCACCAGTTTTTTGGCGTCTTTGAGCTTTTTTGGAGTCAATCTTCTCCCAGCATACTGAGGATGTAGAATATTGGCAAGAAACCAAACTGGCGGCACCGATTTGTTGTCTCCTTCATGCTGGATCGAAGCTGCCACAATAGGATCGTTGCAGGTGTTCGACCATCCGTCAATACAAAGAGTAACCTCCTTCCCATTCAGTTTCTTTGAACACTTGCTTTCCAACTGTGTGTGCACGGTGTCGAGGATTTCATTGCCAAGAATTTTCCGATTCGGTGGCTTATACCCTGGATGTAATGCATGGCATAACTCTTTAAAGCTTGTAGATTCCACAATGTTGAATGCGATATTGTTCTCGAAAAAGAACCGCCCAACTAAAATATCAAACTTGTTTTTATCGTCTTTGGACGTCGAAACGGTAAAATCGGTGATTCGGGGCTGCTTTGCGGGCGGTGGTCGATTCTCAGAATCCGCGTGTTTGGCATGATGCTTCTTCATCCTCTCAGGATTTGCGGCCGCTTCATGCCCACAGACCCTGCATTTGGACTTGTTGCTCGGAAGTCGTTCAAAATGCTCCCAAATAGCGTCCACGGGCCTTCCACCAGCGTTCGATCCAGGCATTTCAAACTGAAGTAAATCACACTTAATAACACGGCTGTGTAAATAACGTTAATAACATGTGTTAATAACAGTGTAAATAACACTGATGTTAATAACACCCCAACACTGTATGGTAGTGTGGACTGGCCATTTGTGCGAAGCTCTGCTGCGTCTCTCTGTAATAATTTTTTGTTAATTGGGACCAAACGTTTTCAGACTTTCATTTCATTTTTCAAATAACCTCCCATGGAACGTTTTTTCGATGAAAATTTCTTTCTCAGATTTCCTTCCCCAATTTTTCGATGAAAAGATATAAATTTTTTTTGTATTTAAAAAAAACAGTTTTATGCTTTGCGGCTTTTACTTCAATCAGCGTCATCCTGGTTGCCGTGGTGTTTTTTTGCTATCAAAGAGTCGAAATTAATTGGAAACTTTGTTATGAAAAACTATCAACCAAAAGTTTTCCAAGCTTTACTTAGGAATACTTTTTCCATTTTTTCGTGGATTTCTTTTTGCTACTGATTGCTAGCTGTGAAGTCGATACAAATCCTGCTTGATAAAAACAGTTAAGTACTGTTTGATAAAGAAAGATTTTATTTAAAAAGTTTGGGATCGGGTTTTGAGACGCTATGCAAAATTTTTTCTATATTAAAAAAAACAGGTTTCTCAAAAACTATTCATTCGATTTTCAAATAATTGTACCAATGCAAAATCGGCCTGCTCTCGTGTGTGCGTGAATAATGCAGCAGTCTCTTTTTACCTTGCCCTTTTTTCTACAGCCTTCATAAAAACTCATTTGACAAAAGTTTATGGGTTTTTTCATTGTCCCAAAAACTACCCTACCAAATCTGAGGATTTTGATTCAATTTATAGAACGGTCTGTGAGACGCTGCCTTGCTTAAGATACTATACCAACCCAAATTTTTTCACAAACAAATATGGACCTCGAAAAAGCCAAATTTTTGATTTTTTGACTTACGAAAACTCTCATCCTAACTGAGATTTTGGGTTCTAATGGAAAAACGGGGTGTGTGAAGCTCTATGCTTTGGGCAGTTCAGCCCTAATTTTCAACGCGAAAAATTATGGGGTGAAAAAAAAGGGCCGAAAGTCGATATTAAGTTTATATAATGGTATTTTTTGGGTTCATTGTTTTCGATTTAAAGACTGGGCTTAATTTTTGTGAATTTATTCAAATGCGTTGTTTATGCAATAATGTATATAAGAAAATTGCAAGGCTCTTAAAATTATCGACTTTTTGACTAATTTTTCATTTTTTGTTTTCCGATATTGGGGGCCTATAAGTTTCGATTTTCAAAACTTGTAGCTCAGTTTATCATACCTACAGTTCTTTTTCTGCTCAGCTGGCGTTTATCCAGTATTTCCGACTTAGTTGCCCCTGAAATTTTCCGAATGTTTTCTTAACGCTGTTGCAAAAAAGGTGGTTTGTTGGGGTCGCGAAAATTTCAAATGGTCTTAGCTCTAATTTTTTCATGCCATCAATTTTATATCGGCTCAACTGTCTCGTACCACAGTATTATCGGCTAAATTGACACTAAATGTTTCCGAACGCAATTTGAACGTGACTTTTGCATTTCTGGACACTTTTATTTGCCGCAAATCGATCATATCTCGAGGCAAATATATGAAGGTTATGTAGATGTAGTTTTCACATTTTTTGATCAAATGTTTTTTTTATCGATTCAATGGCTTTTTCATTTTCTGTCCCAGCTTTGATTGTTTTGTTTGTAGTATCGCTAGTGTCATTTTTGCTACGTGTGTGGGTAGATTATAGGTGTCAGGACAAAAGATACCAACCAAAAGAGCCCTTGTACTAAAATCGCCCATACCATAAGATCCCCAGCCAATTCAAAAGATCCCATGAATTATGAACAAAAGTCAATATCAAAACATAATTTAAAAAAATCTAGAGTAATGATATCTGTAGGGTTCGCGCTATTAATGAATAACGCAAATCTAAGATAACCAAATTCAAACGACTCATTTTTTGGATTATTATACTGGCAGCATGTGTTTAATTTAGTGTCATTTGGCAGTGAAGGTTGGCGCCAGTAATTTGACTGCAAAATTGACCCATGTTGCTTTGGTAATAAAAACTCAGAAGGCCAGAGTTTTCTCAATTTCTGCCAGTCACAAAACCTAGCCGTTCTTTAAAAAACGCGTCAATGATTACTGTACGTTTAAGAGTGGAGAAAACTACACCGAGATTGATTTCATTCTAACACCGATCGTCACAGAAAAAGTGTATCAAAAATTTGAAGGTTATCAAGGGCGAAGAATATGGTATTCAGCACAGACTTGTGTGTGATTTCTATCTTAATGTTTCCAATTAACGCCATAAGTCAAAACCAGCTAGAAGAATAAAATCGTGGAAATAAAATGAAATAGATAATCAAATCAAGTACGAAGAGGCAATAAGAAAGAAGCTAAAAAAATAATCAAATACAAGTCCACTGGGAAAATTTTGAATCGACACTTCTAGAAGCTGCGAAAAACGTATGTGACGAAACAACCGGAAAACCAGCGAGAAAAAGAACATAGTGGTGGAACGAAAAAAATAGGCGAACGAGTTTGCAGGAAGAGATATATAATAAAAAAGTGACAGAGGACTGGAAATGAGGAAGACCGGGTGATATATCGGAGGCAGAAAACACTTGCGAAACAGCTAGTCGCGGAAGCTAAAAAATTGAATCCAGCGAGTTCTGGTGTCAAGATCTGTCAAAAACGGAGACACGGCGTGAAATATTCCCCCCAGTTTCATGATAAAAATTGCTGGAGATTGTGGACTTACTGGACTTTTGAAGTCCTTAAGGAAGTCTGGGACTCTGGTCTAATCCCCTCTGACTGGCGCGAAAATAAACCTGTTAATTTTTACAAAGGAAAAGGCGATCCGTTAGAATGTGGATCTTTTAGAGGTATCCGATTACTAGGACACGCAATTAAAATTTTCAAAAAAGTACTAGATAAACGTCTGAGACAGTTGATAAAAATAGATGACATGCAATTTGGCTTCATGTGTGGTAGATCAGCTACCGGTACCATTTTTTATTAGAGTACTGAAGGAACTGTTTGCGGAAAAAACCCCTGCGTCGCATATTTTTTGAACTGGGCCCATGGGCTCTGAGGCAACAGAGATCCCGAAAATCTAGTACGACTTATAATGCGCTTGTACACCGATTCGAAAACCAAAGTTCGCCGGCCCCAAGGATGCAATGATTTCTTCGAAATAGAAGTAGGCGTGGATCAAGGAGCAACAATTAGCCCATTGTTATTTATAATAGTAATGGAAGAGGCTACGAGAAACTGTCGTTCCGTGGTACCAGATGATCTGCTAATGCAGATGACCCAATGATATCCGCTGAAACGGAATCCCAGTCTTTTGAGAAATTTAATGCTTGGAACAAGGCTTTGTACATACGCGGTTTGATAAGTAGCGTGGATAAGACAAAGCATTTGATTTCAGGCCAAAAGTTTCCTCATAAAACCGGAAAATGTCCATGCGCTTGTTCTTTGAAGGCAGTCGGCGCCAATTCAATATGCTGCAATATGCTGTATTCAATGGTTGCAAAAAAAATGCAGTAGCCTGAGAAAAATATCTAAAGATAATACTTATTGTGTTTGTCCAAGGTGCGATAATCCTTCCAATTATCACTAAAACTTAATTGTTTCTCTACGGATTAATCAATTTGAAACCATGAGTACTGTCAAAGAGTTCTGCTATCTGGTTGATATGATTTCCCTTAAAAATGACGCAATAAGTGCAGCATCGGTCAGAATTCCAGCTTTCTGGACAAAAATGGCGGCAAATTACAAGTCGTCATATCTACGGAGATTGTCTCCGGATAATTCTGATGTGCTATTCTGAAACTTAACTTGAGCACAAATCAAGGCAATATCCAGCTCTCTTGGTTGTAGGGTTGTAGGAGTCACTTAAAAAGACAGAGTAACCAACGAAGCAGTAATTGAAGTTGCAGGACTCGTAGATCTGGACAAGCTACAAGTGTGGTCGCGGCTACAATGCTATTACCAGGTTCACCGAAAGGAAAATGACCATGCGCTACAACAGATTGTGTTGATCGAATGGCATGGAAAAACGTGTTATCTACATCTAATAGCTTGAATGCTATTCAGAATTCCTTCATCTGAACCCTTGCTTACGCGTTTTCCCGGTGTTTATTTCCGTCACAATTTGAAAACGGACAAGAAACGCTTTAGTAGAAGTCGTTAATATGCCATTGAATTAGACAAACTCAATTGAAAATGTATACACTCTGCATTCACTATCTCACTCTCTAACTCGTTGAATAGTAAAAATAAATTTTTATACTTGGGGCTTGGGGAACGTCACAAAAAGTTCAAACAATTGTTAATCTTGACGGCCATGAATTTCAAAAGAAACGCAATATAAAGACAACAACACAGTGGCGCGGCACCAAATGGAGATCATATAAGTACCCGAAAACTTTAATCACTTCTGGGAGCGAAATAATCTGGAACAGCAACGAGCAGTGTCACTAACTCAGTGCAGGACGCTCAGAATCTCGACAACTAGTTCAGCAAATGAAGAAGACAGTTAGGATTCAACTAAATCCAGTAAGCAGCCAGATCATCGCAGCTTTTTTTCCAATTGGTGCAGGACGAAAAGGCACCAAGCTGTCTTTGCCTTACCACTCGGCGGTAACGTGAACTCTAAAGGGAAGTAAACAAACGACATCCCTACCCACTGTTGCCACAGATGACCGTCATTTCGAAATACCGGATCGTTTTAAGCAATTTTGTCTTTTCGGTAGCGAAAAGCAAGATACGGAACGCAGATTGATTATTAGCGATATCCAGAGCCTCAATGCTTTCTAATTTTCAACAGAACCTGGTTTGTAGATGGTTCTTTCCTAATTTGTCCCAGTCAGTTGTACCAGCTCTACACTCTACATATCCAGATTGGCGGGTTTTATCCACCGTGCGTCTACGCTTTGCTCAGCAATAAAAGCTCATCAATTTATAACAGATTCTTAACCGCACTTAAATCGCTTATCGGTGACGTAACCCCTGAAAGATTTTTGATCGACTGTGAAATTGCGGCGTTGACGCTTTTGCGTCTCGTTACCAAACTTACAATAAGGGATGCTGTTTTCGCCTCTGTCAGAGCTATATGCGGATAATATCCGAATTGAGCCTTAAAAAGACTTACGAATCAAACAGCGAGACAGTCTTAGCGCTGAATATGATTCCTGGTCTTAGATTTGTACCGGATTCAAAAGTGAGAATAGCGTTTGACCTAGTAATTGAGAAAATATGTTTCAAGACAGCCATCCCTCAATATATACGTTTCTTGAAAAAATTCAACTGCAATCCTATAATCAAAAATTCAATTTTTTGAAAGCATCAAGCGGTACTATCAACTTATTCGGAAAAAGTACCGTGATCGGAATGAAAAAGTTCAACAGATAACTAGTTCTTACTTAGACTCAAACATATTGTCTTATATCCGTTCACTTGCTCATTTAACCTATTAAATTTTGATTTAGTTTTTGCCTTATTTCTCTACAAATGGTAAGGGATCTATTGTAAGGCAAGGGATCTTTTGTCATGTAACCAGATGATATCCACTAATAGATTCTTCTCATCTTTGTTTTTGTATTATCTTGACAGGTGGTTACTGAACCCTTCAGGAGGTGTTAACCAAGTTAAACATACTAATCCTGGCCAACTTTTTGAGATCAAAGAAATATAAGTCGACCAAAAGATCACTGTTTGAACTATGAAGTTCGTTCGAACCATCGTTTTGTCTATTTATTTCGCTATCAATCAGATGATCATTTACGCCAAACTTACTGTTTTTGGTCCATTATTACATTTTCGCTGATGTTTCTGTTGTTGGTTTTTTGCTGCTTGCGGCGCGATCAGTCCACTTGAGTCTTAAAAGCTTATAACCATTTGAGATTAAATTCTAACTCATTTTATCGCTAACTCGAAGAATACGACTTCAGTTGAGTCATGGGTAAAAGCGGGGACGAGGTGGTGTTGGTGGGGGCAATCGACCAGGGTACGAGCAGTTCCCGCTTCCTCGTGTTCACTCTCGATGCTCTCAAGAAGGGAGAGGGGCCAGTGTGTAGTTCGAATGTGGAACTAAAAGTGCAATACCCTGAACCCGGCTGGGCGGAGTCGGACGCCGAGAAGATCTACGAGTCAGTTGTGGAATCCATAGAGGAAGTGAGCCTTCAGCTAGAAAAGTGAGTTATTGTGATTGAAGCTTTTCCATTAATAGAGATGCAGTATTTAAATGCGCTCTGTAAAGTGAAATACAACGAAAATCAACAAGTTTTATTAAGGTGCTCACTTTATTTGCTTCACTTTACTTCTCTTAACTGAATTTTTTGAAGCAGCAATTGTATTCTGACAGAGGGCTAATAGTAAAGACTCTTGTGGTGATTCAAAATTAAATTGAGGGTGGCATAAAAGATCAGTTTCCAAAGAGTGTTAGTTTATAAATTTTTGAGTTATAAAACTAATGTACAGATCTCCAGAAAAATCGAATGAGCCAATTAATTGTATATGGGTTTAATGGTTTTTTGAACATGTGTTTTTAGTTTGGGTCACAATCTAAACCAGCTATCATGCGTGGGAGTCACAAACCAAAGAGAAACTACTCTAGTGTGGAACCGGAAAACAGGCGAAGCATACGCACCCGCAATCAGCTGGCAAGATGGCAGATCTCGAGACATAATAGAGCACTTCAAGCAGAGAGAGGTTCAGGCCGAAATCAGAGATTCGCTTCTAGACGGGGGAAACATACATGGGAAAACAGGATTGGTGATGAGTGAATATTCGTGCTGCTCTAAATTAGCATGGCTCTTGAAACACAACGAAAAGCTAAAAAATGATCTGGAAAATGAGAGCGAAAAAGGAAACGTTCTATTTGGAACTGTTGACGTTTGGCTACTATGGAAACTTACTAAAGGTTCGGCACTTTCGTCAATCAATAAGCTAATGTTTTGGTTTGAACGTTTCTAGATTTAACTTATTAACAGTTGTTGAACGTTCTGAAGACTCTTATATAGGTCGTGATAATTTTTTTAAAGAAAAGTTTGTTCACGCTCAACTTTGATTTTTCGCTGTTTGAGTTTTGATTTCTTAAGTCAACCCAATTTAAGAAAAACGCGTTTTGTCCATTCTTTTCGGTTTGTCCGGATAATTACACTTGCGACCAGCATAGTGTGTTATTACGAAACTTCTTTTTTCTAACCACCTATCGAACAGCGTAAGTGTAAAAACAACGAAAAACTTGATTGACTGCTATTTTCGAAAACGGATTTTGTATTTTGCAGATTTCCCAGCGGAATAAAAATTTTACCTATTGGTCAAAACTTTTTTTTGAATTCCAATCGCTTTAAGACCAGATATTTTTTACTTTGAAATTCGAAAGTTGAAGCTTTTCTGTTCATGTCAGCTGCTCTTTTATTAATGTTGCTGTTTTGTTAGGTAGAGAGTTTTCAACAGATGTATCGAATGCAAGCCGGACCAACTTCATGTCTCTGCACACCTTGGATTGGGATGCCAAAATTATCGAGTTCTTTCAGATCCACCCTAACATCTCCTTTCCAGTCATCAAGAGCAACTCGGAGGATTTCGGAACCATCTCGTCAATCAAAACGCTAGAGGGTGTGCCTATAACTGGATGCATGGGCGATCAACATGCCTCGCTCGTCGGTCATCATTGCTTTGAAGTTGGACAAACAAAGAACACGTATGGAACCGGTCTGTTCTTGCTAACAAATATTGGAAATGAGTTGAAGTTTTCGAAGAAGGGAGTTCTGACTACAATTGGGTACCAGTTCGGAAAGAATGAGAAGCCGTGTTTTGCAATGGAGGGAGCAATTGCTTCTGGGGGCTCGGCAATCCGATGGCTGAGAGATAGTCTTGGTATGTATAATTGATTTCTGGATGACAAAAAGGTGAATAGGGAAACCTTCTCCGTTTGCACGAGATGCTGAATCTATAATTCAAGTAAATTTTCAGGGCCGTAGAAGTTCTGGCTTATGGAGATTCCGGGTAGTTTTACAACCAAAAATGTTAATGTGTATTCTTGCCTGAAACTTCATTTCTCAAGTGGATTTACAAAGTCGATCAGAGATATATACTGCTTGACGCACTCAACTAATCGACAAAACAAAACAAAACCATGAAATCAAGTGTAGTAGAAAATGTTTTTTTTTATTGCAGGCTTGATCTCCTCAACTGACGAGGTAGAGTGGGTGGCTTCCCAGGTGGAGGACAGTGGGGGAGTGTACTTTGTGCCGGCATTCTCTGGTCTGTTCACGCCCTACTGGGACTCCACTGCCAGGGCCATCATCTGTGGCATGAGTCACACCTCCAACAGACGCCATATCGGTCAGTCATGTGGCTTGACATGCTTTTTTTCTTGCGCTTTTTTGATCTTGTCGTGAAGAGCGTGCTCACGATTCCATAGAATTTTATGCTCCATTTTTTTCTAGGAGTTGACCAGAAAATTCATGGTAACGAGAAAAAGTTTTATTCAGCTGTGCAATGGCAGAAATTGTAAGATTTATTTAATCTTATTTTGTTCAGCTCGTGCTGTGTTGGATTCTTTGTGCTACCAAACACGAGATGTTTTGGATACCATCAGTGAAGACAGTGGTCTGCGTCTTCAGGAACTGAGAGTGGACGGGGGTGCCAGTCTGAACAACCTCCTCATGCAAACTCAAGCTAATATCCTCAACATGCCAATCATAAGGCCTGCCAGCGTGGAGCTAACTGCATACGGAGCAGCGCTAGCTGCCGCATTTGGTGCTCAACTTATGAAAAGCATAGCTGATGTTAAAATCAGTGAAAGAAAAACGGTTTTCAGTCCAAAAATTGACCAAGATGCTTGCGATAAAATGTATGAGTTATGGAAGAAAGCTGTAAATAAAAGCCAAAATTGGTTGTAATAAATGCACATAAGTTTTTCTATTGTCTCTATCCTGTGGTAACCTTGTAGATTTTTTCTATAAAGAAATTTATTCGTCTCTCTGAAATTACAAAACGTGCCCAATTTACCTTTACCGGATTCTTAAATTTTCAATTGCTATTGTGTAATATTGCAACTAGTGTCTTTCCTATTGTATCATCAAACTTGGTGCTATGGTTCTCTTTGCATGTGTACAAATACTCTCTTTTGTAATTTTCTTAAGTATTGTAGAACTAACAGAAAAGAAAAATGCACTCATAATAAGCTTGCTTTTTGAGTTTCGAAGTGAGTAGGTGTAATTTTTTTCGCATGTTTTCAAAAGCATATTAAATCAATGTTTCAAAAAAGATGAAGGACAGGTCTTTTTAAATGAAATTTCAAACAACGTTGAATACTTTCAATCAATAGTTTTTAAAACAACCATTTCTCCTATATTCGGATTATTGGCAAAATGTGTCTGCCAGAAGCTGTTTATGCAAAGCAGGATTATGCAGAGTACTAATTGAAATGTTACCTCAATTTTTTTCCAACTTAATCGTCCGTCAAACCTTAAACTGCTCTAAACTGAGGTGCTGGAGTAAGCACCCAGTATTTTGGGCTACGAGATATCTAATCAACATTTTTTTCGCTTTAAAAACTTGCTATTAAAATACATCTTCTCTTGTCAGTTGCGATCATTGGTCAATTTACCGCTGGAGAACCACATGATGAAATGATTTGACTCTCAATTAAGTTTCTGTAACAACTTGTTTGCCCTTGCGATAAGCAAATGTATTGATATCGGGTCCTAGACTTTTTTCCCGTAAACAACTTTGTTCAGTTTACAGAATGATCATTTTAGTATAAATGGTAAAATGTATCCGAATAGTAGGACTTTTCCCCTTCTGACATGCTCAAGCTCTTGAAAATCAAAATAAAGTTACCATAATTTAGTTGTATTTGAATAAAGACTGTTTCAGGTTGTAATTAAATTTTTACAACTTTTTTCTAACGTTTTTATTTCACTCTTTTGAGCTGATTTTTATTTCTCTCTTTTGAGCTGATTTTTCGTTTGTGTTTGCGAAGTGCAGCTTCACTCCTGTGTTTATTTTGCTACAATGAAATTCTTATTTATTCAAGCATAGCTTGTGTTATAGTATGAATTTTTTTCTTTTTTTCCAAGCTAAGTCGTAAATATTGTTGCGACAAAATGTGTTCATTTTGAAAGTGTTCATTTTAATCCAGCTATTAAGTACAGCCAATGCTAAGGATATGAACACAGACTATTATATTACAAATAGCATTTTAGTTCAAGGTATCATGGTTCTGTAGCGTAGAGGTAGTGAAGAAGACCAGCAGCAAACTAAGAGGGTTCGAACCTGGGCAGAGTCGGATCTTTTTAATGAACTTTTTCGTATATGAGTTAAAATGCGTCCGCTCTATAAATTGAGGCATGTTAGTTGGTTGTTTTTTTCAAAATGACTGGTACTGCTAATGCGTCATAATTGGCTTGAGTCACTTAGCAATTATGTAGACTCATAATTGGTGTCCGTCACTGGAGAAATTTTGTAGACTCAGTTTTACTGATTCAGTTTTTCCCAGTAGCGTTTTCGGTCATATTTTTGCTTGTGTATGCGAAGTGCATCTTCGTCTCTGTGTAAAATTTTAGGAATTTATACAGACTAAATTTGAAAAATGAATAAAAAATCAAAATTATTAGTGGTCGGAACTTTCACGGCAATTCTTGTTGCATGGTTCATATCAAACATGAAAAATCTATATTACAAAAAACGTCTTTGAAGGTAATATATATTCAAGTTTTTTTAATTAGCTATCTAGGCGTGAAACTTTGGAATCGAATCTGTAGCTGACTTCACGTTCTCTATGAAGAACGGTGAAAACTTATGATACTTAAGCAGTAGCCCAGTAGTCTTGTTTTTGGTGAATACATGATACCCGATGCAATTGTCATCAAATTGATAGCTGCATAATTTTTATTAAAATGGTTTGAGTGAGATACATGCAGTGTGTTTTACGAAATCATTTTTTTGTGCCAGATTTTGCCATGTCTGCCGAGTCAATATCAACTGAAATAGTGGACACTCTGCATCATGAGATAATGGTGTCGAAAGACAGAACGCTGGCTGAGAAGCTTCAAGTGCTGAAGTCTTTTGTCATGGACAATAAAAACAAGGTCTACATTGGGAAGAAAGAGAATGAAATAGAAATGGCTTTCTCATTGGGAAAGAAGGTCGCCTTTTGTAAATCTGGAAATGCATTGGAGGAGTGCAACTTATACATGGATATTTTCCAGAAGCTTGTCTTAACGTACTCTGACGCGTTTGTTCGAGAAAAGCGACTCAGGGTGAAAATATTTTTAGCCATTGCAGATATTCTCGAATTCAGACTAATTCGAAAGACACCTAGTATAGACTTCATGAAAGTGCTTCTGGATTCTGCGACTACTTTGCTAAAGAGCAACTCAGAGTTGTTCGATTTCTGCTCCTCGATGTTGAAATTTCTGGTGTTTACCCGGAGTCACAAGAATTTCAAGGCAGAAACTTTAGAATTCGTTTTCGGTACAGTTCAAAATTGTATTTCTACAGATGGTGAAGAGCGAAGTTATGTTGACGAGTTCGAGAGTTCTGACCTTTCACTTCGGTTGCTGACATGGGGTAAAAATTTCCACGTTGATATTCGCAACATTCTCGTAGGTCGAGAGGAGAATCTCGAAAACTGGGACACGAAAGGAGCAGAAACTTGGAGACGCCAAATGACAGCAACTTGCAATGCCATATTTTTCAAAGAAGTTGTTTCTGCTATTACGTTAGTAAAACAGCCGAAGGCAGAGGATGAAAAGATTGACGCGACTGATATGGAAACGGCTCTGCTTGTGAGCCTGTCACAACTAGTTAACAGAGTAACAGAAGATGCCTTCGTTTTATCGCATTGCTACGGTAAGAAAAAAACACGAAGCTATAAATTACGAGTATTTTTCCCAAATGATTAGACTTTAATTTCTGATTTTTCAAATGCATCTGCGTTCTTTCATTTATATACCAACCCATTTTGCGCTATATAAAACGAGTAAAATTTTTGTTCAGACCATTGAAAATGGGTAGGAACTTCGTCTTCGGGTGTGTTTTTGTTTTTTTTTTAAATAAAAAAAATTGTTCTACAAAAATTGGGATCTCTTCAACTATCCCCGCCCCCTAGGGAACCTAGTAACGGATTGCCATCCCCATAAAAAAATAATTCAATGGTTAAGCATATGTTTATTTTTTACCTAGTAACGAATCTCCCCCCTTTTGCAAAAAGGGGGGGGACAGTTTAGAGATCCAAAAGTTGAAAAAATTTTGCGATAAGCAAGGGTTTTGCAACCAAGTACTAGACTTTTTTTCCCGTAAACAACTTTGTCCACAGTATTTGCACGTGAATTCGCACGTGTTTTACTGTAGAGGTATCTGTAGTATGTGCATTTTAGGTTAGGTATGGGACTTGTGTGATTGTTATGAGTTCCTTTTATAGTATTTTTTGTGCCTTAAATTTTCAGTATTTTTTCGGCATTTGAGTGTCGGGTTTAATTCCGTCGGCTCATTTTCCGAATGATTTTTTTATCAATTAAATTGTTGATTTTTATGAGATAAGTTGAAGTCTCACAAAATGTTTAATCAAATCTTGATCACTTTGCCAGACCCTTCCTAATAAAAATGAAAGTTTTAAAAATGAAAAAGATTAAAAAGGTTTTTTCAAATTTTTTTTTCGGTTTTGTTTTCAGTTTGCAAAATAAATGTGGTTTTAATCTTTTAAGCGTTTGTTTGTGTTCTCATTGCTTGTTAGCCCATATTGTTTTGATAAGTAGCTGTTTCAATTCAAAAACGAGATCCAAGCAAGTCTGAATTGCCATCAAGTCAGAAATAAATAAAATCGAAATTTTTCACTAAACCGTTTTTTCGGTCAACTTGTTGGTCTTCTCTCATCGGAATTTTTGGAAATGAAAATCGGCGTTTTTTGGCTTCATAGCTGCTTAAAATCATTTGATTTTTCAAACAGTGTCTAGTTCTTGTTTTTTTGTTTCATTCGTTTTTGTTATAATCTATTTTTTGGTCTAATCTATTTTTTTGATTTTTTTGAATTGTTTTGGAATTACTTTTCGAAAGTTTTTGCAGTGTTTTTAGTTTTTTCAGATCACATTTGTTCTGTTCTAATTTAATTTGTCTAGGCTCCTGAAAAATTGTATAATATTGCTCGGTATTTATGCGTCTTTCATTTACTAATTTAAGAAGTAAATCAGAGTTAGTGGTTTTTGGTTCTTTCATTGAAGTTTACCTATGCAGTTCACTCCTGGTTCGATTGCGTGTCTTCGGAATACTTCGATGTATAGTAGGCAGGTTTAAAATTATGTTGGAGGTAGGCTGATTTTGTTGCTTTTATAATTTAAAAAATTTTTTATGAATTAATTTTGTTATCTGATGTTTTGATAACTTTTTCTTGGCTTATAATGTTTGCATTGCAAGTGGTGCGAAGCTCTGCTTCGCCACTGTGTTCTTTTTTCCAAGACAAGCGTTGTCAAGGCACTATTACAATAATTGGTAAGTATGCAAGTGCTATTTTGCTAGCACAAAATTTGCCCGTTTAATGCGTATAATTTATTCAAAAAATGAACAGAATGGAATATAAACAATACTTTCATTTTGAGTAATCGTTTTCCTAATTGGAATATGAAACGCTCATTCATTTTTTACTCTTTCTTAGACAACAGTTTAAAAATAGTGTTTTAAATGTATCAAAGATCAAATGCCTTTGCGTTTACATGAAAATAGACCGCCTATGTACTATATCACCCTGTTATCGGTTCTGTCCCATTCGCTAGCTTTCTCTGCGTTCATACAGTTCTCTCATCACACATTGTACGACACTAAATTGGCCGCACTAATTTTTAAAAAAAGGGTAACTTTGTCGGCTCGTTAACGTGTCGGCACATTCTAAGCTAGTTGCACATGAACTGGCTATCCTCTTATTTCTCATGTAAAATGACTTTAAATGAACAACAATGCTGATATAAAAAACTTGTTAGAGCAAATTACCTGGAAAGCTGAAAAACGACGCCTTTTGTAAATCTTAAGTGTTTACGTACAAATTAATTTCAATATTTTTTTGATCACGAATTTTTACTTTTTCCCCACGCAGAATAAGGTACCACAAGACTTCAAGTGGGGTTAACCGATACATTGTGATTTAAATTATCCGGATGAACGAATAAATCTTCAAAGTTATAGCTCGTTACTCTCAAATTCATATGGTGCAAAAATTTTTGCAAACTTCGATCTTTTTTGGCTTTTAGGCAATAAAAAACACGCTAAAACTAAGATGTCAATGGCTAACAAACTACATGAAAATGAGCCTTTTGTCTAGGTCAACAAAGTTAATGAAGGGTATAATTTCCTAGTATTTGAAGAAAATAATCCATTTTCATATCATTTTTACTATATAAAATTTCATATTCTTTCCAAAATGTTTTTTAAAGATAAGAGGCTCACTTTCTTGTAATTTGTTAGCCAATGAACAGGTAGTTTTGGTGTATTTTTTGATTGACCCCATTAATTCAAAATGATCAGTATTTAAGCCCGAATTTCGCAGAACTATAAGCGCCATAAAAATCCTCTGAGCAAAATTTGTCTTCATTCTTTTTCATCTCAAATCAACTTTACTTTACCAGTTTTTTGTTTCGTCCGGATAATTCAAATTCGAACTGTTCAGTGCTGATTTTATTTATCAGAGCAAAATGAACAAAACTTGTTTAGTCCCAACATTCTACCCCAAAACCGATAATTTTTTTTTGTCAATCAAAAATTATACCAAAACTATCAGTTCAATTACTGAGAAAACTATATCAAAGTGAGCCTCTTGTGTAACTCATTAAATTATAGGAAACTTTTCATTTTTCATGTAGTAAAAATGGCGCTTTTTGGCTATTAAAGAAAAATAAAAATGTTGATTAATAGAAACTTTAGAAGACTCTACTATTAAACTTTGATAGGCTACATAAGAGACTCAGTTTGATGTTTTTGGTCAGCAATTGATTCGGTGCTTTGGCGTAACTTTTGATCGTTTAAATTAATAAAGATGATCGATTTGGGGGTAAAAGCTGAGACCGAATTTCGTAAAAATGAATTTCAGCATGTTAATTCTGCTAAACCTCTCAGTAAGTTTGTCTCCATCATTTTCCATCTGAACTCAACCAAACTGAGAAAAATGCGTTTTAAATTTTAATTTTTTAGTTGTTCTGTCCGGATAATTCAGATACGCTCTGTATATCATATTAAATGATTTAATAAGGCCAGGGAAAAATAGTTATTGATATGGTTTCTCGAGTCCAATTTTTTCCTAAGATAGTGAAGTTCCTTAAAATTCTAAATCAGTTCATTGTGATTTAAAATTTTGAGCTCTACGAGACTTACAAAAGTTGATTCATTGTGTGAGGTAAAGAAGCATTTTCATATTGAAATCTTAAGGTTGATCAGATCTTGACAATATCTAACCCTAAACCAGAACAATATAACCATTTTTTGTTTTCTGCATTGTTTTGTGGAAAATATTACCTTTTTTTTTGGATATTTTAAGGCTTTCCTTGTATAAAAAAGCTAGGTTTGTTAAATATATACGACGGATTATTACGCTTGCGATTAGCTTGCATTATCAAACCGGAATTAAGATTTTTTTGGGTTAACATCTAGTTAAACAAAATCAGTTGAATCAATAGCAGGGGGTATCAGTGCGTTTAGTGCTGTCAGTGCCAAATCAGTGCGAAGCGTGATCTGTCAGTGCCAGCAAGTGAATATCAGTGCCAGTGTTTTTTCTTAGCGCACCTTTACTGAATGGTTCAAAATCAAAAATCTAAGCAGACTTACACAGTGTTTTTTTTGAGGTAGTATCATGGTTTTTTTATGAGAAAAAGAAATTAGTTGGGTCAAAAAAAGTTGGGTCAAAAAGCCAAAAAAGGCTAGTCAAAAAATGTCAGTGCTTGGCATTTATTTTTATCAGTACGAGTATCAGAGCCGTCAGTGCCTGCGATTTCTCAGACACTGTGGTCGTCCTGAATTGTCATGTCTGTTCTGATGGAATACCAGGAAACAGATTTTTGAGCATGGCTGCATTTTAAATGAGCTGCATTTATTTCGCATTTTTTTGTTGCTTTCAAAACAATTTTTATTTTTTCGCTGATTGTTTTCTTTTTTTCTCACTTCGATTTTTATTTTTTCTTATTGTACTTTATAAAGCTGCTTTTTGTCGTGTTCTCGCTAGTAAATTTTGTGTGTGCTTCGCCTGTGTAAACTTTGTTTTTCAATACTTATTCCATACTCGCATTTTTTTTCTGTATTTTTCCTCAAAAGCAACGACCTTTTCGAGACAGAGAAATAAATCAATATTTTTTCATTCAAAAAAATTGAGTTAGTGGCTTTTATTCTATTTTTTTTTCGGCAAGCTGCCATTTGTTTTTTTGGCATATCGCAGGTGTCAACTCGTCTTCTGATTTCATCAGCACAATGTTTAGGAAGTTGGCTTTGGGAGTTGTCGCTGATCAGCGAAGAGCTAGTTGACCCCTCTGCTGTCGTTGACTCGATGGTGGAGCGCATCATTTCCCAGCAACATATGGAGTCTGAGGTCAAGTGTGCCGTATTGCACAATCTGCTATCTGCACTCTACACGAGTCACATGGCCAACAGGTGGGGAGAATATATTATTACGCTCGCGATTAGCAAGCCTTATCAAATCGGAGTATGGATTTTTTTTCGGTTAGCAACTACTTTAACAGGAGGTAACGAATATGCCTGGGACGTCAAAGGCCGTGGGTGGTGTGGTACGGCAGTCAAGGTCATATTGAGCCGACCATTGGATGTATGTTATTTGATGTGATGCTAAAGGTCAATGTCGGGACAGGTCTCCCGCCAACCACCACTCATGAAGTATCTAAACACTCCCTTGAAACTGTTGAAAGATAACAGTTCTGTCATGCTTTATTTATGCAACAAATCAATTACCCAATTTCTAATTCAACCTTTTATGATAGGTTTTATTCATTAGTTATTAGTAGATAGTTTGGCATTTCTCATGTCGCAGCCTGCAGTTTTGACCCCATGAGGAACGGACTGAACTTTCAGGGGTACCTGTATTTTGGCCCAAGCCATCCCCCTTTTTTTACATGGGAAATCTGGATTGGCCAATTCTTTTTAGCAATTAATCTTAGAGAACATGTGATCCTAAAGACCTCTTATTCGATCCCGCGGAGGTATTTCACGACCCTCCTCCTAGACCGGAAAGGATTCCATACTCAGAAAACGAAACCGAAAGAAACAACAGGGTCACAAAAGACCAAGCAGAAATCAGGAAAGTGAACGAAATAAATATCGAAAGGAGAAAGAAAGGTCCCAAGTTAGGACAAAACATATTCTATCACGAAGCTGACCAACGAGTCAAATCACGTTTATTCTTTGCCCTAGAAACCGAAGGGAAGAAACGTTTTCTCCAAAGCTTACCCCATACTATTCTCTCTGATATAAAATTTCAAGGAGTTTTTCGCCCAATGTGAAGGTCTATCCAAAAAAGAGAATTTTATAGTCGAACGCATGCACCTCTACAACGCCAACCAAGCTGACAGGGAAGGTATAGAATCCTTTTTAAGACTCTCAGGCCAAGCAGCCTTACGCAGGTCAGTAACAATCGAGAAAGAGGTAGTCCGAGATATATTTAATGCGAAAATGAAATTCAAAGATATCCAGAGAGAACTTTGTCTTCGCCCGGGAAATTCCCCAGAGGAAACGCTTAGATATGCACTGTTAAAGGAAGCAGGTTACGCAACAGCATCTACACTTCAAAAACAACTGGAAAACAACTTTATTTCAAATTATTCAAATCAGAAAACAAATAATCCATTCAGGGTCAAACAGGAACCTACACTATCAGTTAAGACAAAGAACTTACAAAATAGAATAAACCGTGCAGAAAAATCAAAATTGTACATCAGAATTCTAAAATCAGAGTTCTCAAAAAACCAAAAAAAAAACCAATAATCAGAAAGCATACTATTTTTGCGGCAAGGATTATTCTCCCAATCACAATCATCATGCCCAGCTGGGGGCTTAATCTGCAAATCATGCAAGGAAAAGGGACATTTCGCCAGATGTTGTAATTCTACCAAAAATGTAAACAATGTAGATAACGAGTCTGATTCTACAGTAGAAGAAGATATAAACTTTATAACGTTGAACAGCGAATCAGAGTTTGGTGTCATGAAAATTTCAGGTACTTATCACCAACGTCCTAACCCAAATTTTTTTCAGAGGGATACATATCATAACAGTCCCCAAATTAATCTCAATATAAAAGCTGAATGTCATAAACTCATCGTCTGGAAAAATCAAAGGCCTCCAAGTTACCTTAAGGGTAAACAGTTCATTTTTAAAAGCTACATAAGATACGGGCAGTCCAGCCTCTTTTGTAAATAAAATACAGAGGACCTCCTCTTAAGGACAGGAAAAAAATGTAAAAATGGATCCGAAATCATCATTGCCTATTGACATATCCTATGTAGGTTATAATCACCAACCGATTGAATTATTTGGAACTCTAGTAATCATCATTAGGCTGGAAAGGCAAATCAGCCAATTTTCGAATATCAGAAAACAGGACGAGATGTCTGTTAGGTCTAATCCTACAAGTTTGCAATAGGAGTCAAAACAACCGAATCCCGCTCTCAGGAGATTCTAGAAGTCGAAGAAAACGACATGGCGTAAACATCCACCCACTGGAAAAATTTTTACTCAAATAATTACAAAGATATTTTTACGAGGCTTGGCAGATCAAAAAATCATCGCGTACACACAGTCTTCAAACAGCCTCTAATCCCAATTCAGGAAAAGGGTCGGAGAATACCGATTCACATTCAAAAGAAAATTGGAAAGGAAATCAAACGCCTTATCAAAGAAGGTCATTAAGTGAAACTGAACAAGTGTACCAGCGAATTTTTGTAGTACCGGTGGTTAATACGGCAAAGCAGGACGGCTCAGTGAAATAGCGATGGACGCAAAACCCATGAATGCTCAGATCTTTAAAAACCAACATCAAATACCATATCTTTTGGAACAACTGGACGTAGCAGCCCAAACAATCAATTCTTATTCTCCGGATGAAGTATTTTTCCTCTTTAGATCTTAAATACGCTTTTAGTCAGCTCCAATTAAGTGATTCGGTCAGTAACCACTGCAATTTTAACATTGTATGTGGAGACGCTACAGGCACTTACCGCTTCAAAACCGGCTTTTATAGGCTTTCAGACATGTCTTAAGAGTTTCAAAAGGCAGTGGACATTACTCTTAACAATAATCCGGGAGTCATTTGCTTTTTAGACGATATTTTAATCGTTACAAAAGGGTCGCTCTCCGGCCACCATCTAATTGTAAATAACATATTCGAAAGACTGTACAAAGAGGGTTTCGCATTGAAGTTATCGAAATGTGAATTTTCAGTAAAAAAAGATCTCTTGGCTGGGTGTCGACATTGATCACCTAGTCTATAGATCAAAACACTCCAAGGTCCAAGCTATTCTAGAGCTAAAAACTCCCATAAACTCTTAAACAATTAAGATCCTTTATGGGTGTACTTAACCATCTCCAACGCTAACCTACAGTTATAGACGGAGCAATTCCGTCCATCTCTGACAGCCTCCAAAGAAGAGATGTTCATTTGGGACAAGAGCCAACAAGACACTTTCGAAGCTACGTTGAAAGTAACATCGGATAACACCATGATGCACCATTATGATCCCAAGAGAAAATCAAAATCAAGTGTGACGCCAGCCACAGTGGGTGGGGCAGCTTTAGAACAACAACTCACCTAATTACCTACTGGGCAACAACTTTGAACTACTTACCGATCACAAAGCAATAATCTCTGCTCTGAAAACTAACCGTGGCAACAAATCTTATCAATCAAGACTAACCAGATGGGCAGATAGACTCCTACCCTTTAACTGCGATATATATCACATATCTGGATCAAAACTAGGAATTGTCGATTATCCCGCTATCCGACTTTCGAAGCGCCTGACCCTTCTAATTTTGATGAACAGTTTGTAGTCAAATCAATCAATAAATTTTTCTCAGCGCTTGACAACATAGAAAAACTGTGGAAGGAAAAAATTTCCAACGCGGAAAAAACCACCCATGCCCTTCAACTATTCGCCTAAACTAGGTAGACAAGTATTTTATTCACCCACGAAAACTTAGATTCAGGAAAGAGGAAGTGTCGATTTATCAAATTCATTGAAAACGATTTTACACAAGAGGGCGACAAATTTCAGCCAGAACCGAACAACCAATCAGATCTCTCCAAATTAGTTTATGCACGAAGGGTAGAGGGCGACCGATCATGCACGTACTTTTTCGCCAAAATAGATGTAAATATAAGCAAATAATTGAGGATACTCACTCCTCAACCAATCAAATCACTCCAATGTAAATTATGCACAACCGCTAGAGGGCGAACTTTCATGCGTTTTTCCCGCCATTTCTCGCAACCAATCAGAAGCTAGAATTAACTCAGCGAAATCCTCATCCAACTCTCTCGTCATTTTCCGCAAATCTCTGCCACCGTCGAGTACCAACAAATATCAGCCAATCAAATCAATCCGACCGAGTTCTAACCAATACATCCCTTTTTCAGATATGTGGCTGAATCAAGAGTATCTCAGACAAATGACAGTTTCGAACTCCTTCTCAGCGAACTAGCGCCCATATCGGATGACCTCTTCGCAAGAACAAGATCAATGAGAAGGGCAGGGGCAATAAGGAGAAAGAAACCTACACAGAAGAAGGAAAGGAGATCCCAACTGAAATTCAAATACGCCCAAATCCTGGCAAATCTGAGATCAAAAAGGGGAAAGGTTGCAACCATCCAGAGGAGGAAGACCCAAGTAAACAGAATAAACGCTTCAACCAAAAAACTTTGTAGCTGACGATAGGAATTCACTCCCAGGACTTACGGGCATTCTCGACGCGGACATTTTGTCATGGCTGGTCGACGAGGACCCAACCTACCGTCTTACGAAGCAAGCGATCCTCAGCAAAGACTACGAGGGGTTTTCGAGAATAGATCCATACATCAAGTCATTCTAGAATGCAGCAGCAATCAAGGACGGATGCATCATTATTGGCGACCGCATCGCTTTTCCTTCCTGCTTGCAAAAAGCAGTTTTATCAAGACTACGCAGATCTCATCCGGGCCAGGAAGCCATGGTAGACGCGGAGCCGTACATCTGGTGGCCAAGAATCAACCGAGATATCGTCAGAATGTGTAAGGAATGTACAATATTCGGTAACAACCTGAAATCCATTAACAAGCTTAACTCATGGAAGCCTCTTCCTTTATTGAATGAATCTAACCAAAAAAATTCAACTAGACTATGCGGGACCACATTCGGATGGAGGAGGTGGTCAAATTTACTTTCTGGTCACTATCGGCCGCTATTCTAATTACCCTTCTGTTATGTTAACTAGAACAACAGGTGCCAAAAAGATCTTGAAATTTCTGAAGGACTATATCACTATTCTCTCTATTCCAAACTCAGTTAGAACGGACCAATACTCAGGTTATAAAAACAATGCAGTCAAATCTTTTTGCGTCTCTAAGGGGATAAAACACATCTACTGCCCACTAGGTGACCACCGAG